GCCATCTTGACCTCATACTTGGTCAATAACCCATATATACTTTTTCACGAAAAATTACTGACAACCAAAATTCACGAAAAATCTTACGGATTTACATAGAAAATGTCGAATTTAGCCAGGAGCCAGATTATGGCTTCTGATTTAGCACATTATTTGGCCGGAAGGATTTATTCGGGACACTCGACACCATCAGAAGCTACTGGAAAACGATCCTTCCTCACCCCTCCCTAGCGAATAGCATGCTAGAAGACTCTCGAAAGTTCGCTGGGAGTTATGGGTAACAAATACTTCGACTCAAAACACAACATGGCGGCAATGAAGTGTCGATAGAACCGGGAAGTCGGGGATAATGCGAGCAAATGGGATTCATCGGTCTTCCCTTGCTCCCGGCTAAGAGATGGAACTTTTCCAAGCCCAGGACAACTTCATAATTTTGAATGGACGAGACAGTTTATGGTGCAACCGGCAAGATGGCCGCCTGCAACCGCGATTCGGTAAAAAGTAGCGCATTGCGCGATCATAATTCAAAGTGTTGTGAACTGTAGATCAGCTGAAACCTTTCTATACTCTATTGTTAGCTTTTGTCTTTTGATAGATTTATTGTTTTGTTCGTCGTTGTAGGAGTTGATCTGGGCGAAGCTTGGTCCTTGAAATGCCGTGGAATTGTGTATGGAGTCATTGGAAAAATACAGTTTTTCCCTGGTAAGATGCCGGCACGCTCATTATGTGCGTGCAAAATTACTCCACCTTTTTAAATTTTCATTACGTGTTGAAAATTTTTCGCCTGCTTGTATTAACCGGCTATTGCATTTTCTTTGCATTTCAGTCTTTAATCAAATGAAATCGGCCTTACAAGAAATATAATTATATAGATTATACAGCCCGCCAAGTTTTACGGATTTAGTGGCCTTTTTAGGGGAGAAAGCTACATGAAGTTTAATTTGCGATCTTGCGAATTTAATTTCTAATACTATAGCTGATAGTGTTGTAGACAAATTTTAAGTCGTGTGGAATGAGAAAACAAATAGAAGCGTATTGGCGATCAGATCGTCTAATTATTTACTTATCTATCGATAAAATTAAATTCAGTCGAAACAAACCGGCGAACTGAGAGTGTTTATTTATCAACAACCGATCAGCCATTACGATTTTGTATTCAGAGTTCAGTTAAATTTGCGACTCTTTATGGCAAACTCTATAACACATACCCGTGAAAAAATAATCGAATTGTACAAAAACTCAATTATAGTGCGAGTATTCGTCGAAACCGGCGTCTTGTCTCAGCAGTTCACAGTTTGCGGTCTATTTTCGTGGCATTTTGCATTTATAATTTTAAACGTGTTTTTAAAAATAATGCAAATCCACTTTCTCTTGTTGGGATTTCAAATTGCATGATCAAATTTGCACCATCTGTCTGACAAATAATTTAACGTTTCATAAACACGATCAGGTCTATGCAGTCATTTCGTCTGCGATGTTTGTACATGTATGAAGGATTACTTTCACGAGACCTTATTTTAACACGAATTCGAAACGTGTAGAAAATAACGTGAAAATCTAAATTACATTTACCAGCAAGCCATTTAGATAAATATCAGTTGCTGAAATCAATTGACTCTAGATTATTCTCCCTATAACATTATTTTTTTTTCTGTGTGGTGCATTGAGTATTTAACAATTATTCACCGAAGTGGAGGTGAATAGTGGTGGATATTTACCGAGCCGCGAAGCAGCGTTGTGAATTGCATACATTGTGAACATGTATGATTCACCATTATTTTTAAGGTACCTGACAACAGTGGACATATTTTTGTCATGAGCAAAAACAGTGAAACCTCAAAAGTACATGTATGCATAGTTCCAAAAATGTTGCATAAAAGGAAGATAATTTATGTAAATTATGTCAGGAGCAAAACCATATACAGCTGTACACTATTATAATTTCCATTCACATGGATCCTACACTTGGAATCTGAAGAATTCAAATGAAACAAAAGCATATTTTGGACTTGTTACAATTTCTTTGACAGCAGATTGTTAAATTCAGCGAAACAATAGAAGGCGTTTCTTGGTTTTCGTGGTCACTTAGGAACATCCCTATGCGGTGGTGCATCAAGAACCTGGTTATGTGGTTAAATTTGTGTTTTGTTTGAAATTTTCAATCACACCATTTTCATTTAAATTTCTTTGGCCCTGTCTTCATCAGACACCAGCCTCCAACCTCATCTACATGTATTGATGATAAGTTTTATAGTTAATCAAAATTAATTGAAAAATAATAAATCTTAGAAAAATAAGAAATGAATATTAAATAGATTAGACTTTCTAATATTTCAAGCTAAGAAACAAATGTAACCCACAGCCAAATGTAAAAGGAATGCATACATGTATGGGCGATGTGGCCTATTGGACCGGTGCTTATCTCCTGTTTCCTGAAACGAATAGAATTATTTCTACTCCCTCCTGGATCGATGGGATGCTTGTTCATCACAGGGTTTCATGTACCTCCAGCATTAAATTCAGGGTACCCATCTATTAAGTTAAACTGGATTCGTAGAGAGACACTGTGAGTAAAATATCTTGTGCAAGAACATAATGTGACCTTGGTCCCTGCCCTGGGCTCAAACCTGGACCGCTCAATCCAGACGCAAGCGCACTATCAGTGAGACTACCCTGCCTCCATAAACCAAATGTAATCATCTTTGTTTGTGCTTGCTTAGGAGATAGCATTCTTTCTTCAGCACGTTTGGTATCTTGTTAGTGTAAAAGAGCTCAGTCATGCCATTTTGAGTTATTTTGGCTGCATACAAAATCACTTATAATTTCAAGGAAACCTGAAAATGATAGTTACATGTACTAGTAGTTTACTTAGAAAAATACATAGAAAAACACCAAAGAGATAATAATAAGCCATAAAGGAACAAGGATGGTTAAGGATGACGGATTACCCATGTGGAACTTCAAAAATTTAGGCTAAACTTTTCAAGTTGCAGAAACCGTGACGAAGCTCCTTTAACGATAATTGAATTTTTAGTGGTTTGAGCAATATCTCAACAGTCAATGTTTCTTACTGTATGTGCACTAAGGACGTGATATTCTATAGGTGCTGACTGGAGGCTGTTGGTGATATCCAAGAGAACCCTCCTTGGTTCTTTGCCAGGAGGTCATGAAGTGTATAGAATTGACAGAGTGGCAGTGTTGACATTATCCTCCAATGAATCACCAGAATTTGAACTTGATGTAAGCTTTGAAACACACAGTTGCATGTATACGTACACAACCCCAGTTTGTTTGTGAGAAGATTTAAATACTCTGCTGTAATGTAAATCTAACTGAGAGAATGCTATTGAATTCAATCATGTCTCACTGTCGCTGTGCACAGTGTTCTTATTTGAATCTGTATCCCTTAACATGTGCCCACGAAGGGTGGTCACAAAGTTGAGACAAGACCATGAGTCATCTTGTTACATTTTATGCGTGTAAACTAAAATACAACATGCAGTGATCAGAAAAGTGCTTTCAGTAGCGAAAGATTTAAAGTAGTCTGCTCTAGCCTCCTACATGTATGCAGATGCTCTTTGGGCTCGTCACGCAATCTTTGTCTGCCACAAAGTCATAGCCAGGGGAAGAAGATTGCATGACAAGCCCAAACAGTGTCTGTGCAGAAGGGTATATCTGCCTTGGTGCAGTACCCATTAGAGAGCAATATCAGCACCCTGACTGTACACATGCCTTGTTTAATTTCAAATCTTCAAGTTCAAGTAAATTTAAGTAAAGTATTCTTTACATGTACTTAAAAAAAAAAAACTTGAATTTTAGAGAGCAGCTAGTTCCAGAATTGACAGTCTTATTAAAATCCAGTGTTGAAGACAACTTTGTCATGTATTAAATTCAAATTAAATTTCTGTTTCAGCCTTGTGAACTACATCAAAGTGGAGGCAGGGCTCGTAAAATCCTAGGTGTTGGAGGAGGGGGACTGGGAGGGATAGACAATCAGCAGAGAGTACTGGGACAGACATGGAGCAAAATCAAGACAGCAGCTTCGACCTTGAAGGAAAAGGTACCTGAATATAGATCTGAAATGCACACTTATGTGAGACATTTATGAGAGACATCAAGGGAAACAGTTGAATTCATTTCCCCTTATGCATCCAAGTGCTTTTTGTACATTCACATCTTGCCACTGATCATGAAAGCTCTAATTCTGCTACTGGAATGTAGTTTCAGTTCATGCAATATGCCAAGAAATTCACTCCAAAAAGCATGACCTGACCTAGGGGGGAGTTCTAGGCTTCAAGCTGTTGTTTCCACAAATAATGTTTGGACAAATTCTCTTTTTGTTATAGTGCATTATTAACTTAAAATTAACTCTGTCAGTGAAAATATTATTTTACTTTAAGTTAAAACTGTGGAGCTGTGTTCCATTTTATTCATTTTCACAATATTCAACCCCTTAGAACATCAAAGACAGAGACCTGAAAGACAAAGAGAAATTAGAGAGAAGATTTGTTGAGGTTAGTATGGTACTTACAGGTAACCTATCTCACAGTGAAGTCGCATTTATTTTCAGTCAACCATAGTGAAAAAATGGGGCCTCTTTTTATATCTATAGAGGTACATGCATGTAAAGATTACAAGTACATTTGTGAGAATGCTGGTTTTTCTCTGACACCAAAGTGAACTGTCCAGTCATGTAACATACTGTAATCATCTAAGTGTGTATATACAAGTAAGACAAGGTTCAGCAACAGAGTCTCATACAAATTGCAAAAAAAAAGCAAAGCTTCGTTAAACCTCAGCTGGCTTGTACGTACATGTAGGTCTGCATGTAGGTGCTTAATTCCAGCTTCTACATGTGTAGCATGAAACAGCTATTAGTAAGAATATAATTACTCCCATCAAGTTGGAATGCTAACTATAGCTGTAGGACATCGCAAGGTACACTGTACTCCCTAGCATTCTGTCAGGTGGCCTCAACAATTTGCAGAGCCAGTACTTATTTATTCAATGTACTCCTACCTGTTGATAGAGAGAGGCATTGTGAGAGTAAAGTGCCTTACCCATGCAGCCCAACACAGTACAATAATGCCAGCCAGAGCTCAATGTCAGATCACATTAATCTACATGAAGAACACCAGCTGAGTCCAGTGCACCAACCATTAAACTGTCATGCCTCTGATTTGCATGCACATGACTGTACACATGGTGTACAGCACTATCAAAGTATGGCTCTACATGTACGCATAGAGCTCTTCCATTTTTGTTGTCTACAGTCAGTGATTCGCTGCCTGGCCCTTGAGATACATGTACAGGCAGCTTGCTGCCTATTGCAATACATTTTGTCGGGGTTGTATATATATCTCTTACATTTAAGATGTGACTCTCATAAAATTTTCAGGAGGTGCTGAAGATGTTTAATGACTCTGACTCATTCTTTTACTCACCCACTGGAGACCTGACCAACACACTGCAAAGACAGTTTAGTGGAAAATACAATACAGCTGATCCTCTTTGGAAGCGGGTGAGAAACTGTTCAATTTGTGATCCTGCAAAAATGCTATCATTCATACACCTGCTGGTTCCATACATGTTTCTATGAAATGTTGCTACACTGTTAGTAGTTATTTTTTTACAGGAATGTAATATTATTTGCTATGAATTAATACTGATAAATCCAAGCCTTAGCATTTCAAATGTTCTTGGTATTTTGTTTTTGGTAAAGTCAATCAGTTTCCAGTTTTATGTCAGGCGACTGTCAACAGAAATGTTTTTGCATCAAAATTTATATGCTTGCGTGATTTGGACTCAAATCAAAAAACCAGCACTACACACTTGGTGACATGTGTCTAGTGCTTTTTTTGTCATTGTTCTTTCTTTGCTTTCTTTTCTGTCACTCACAGAAATATGTGATACTTTTTGTTTTTAGTGTGACAAGAGGTTCTTCTGGAATGAATTCATGGTGAAGGAGCTTTTGAATAGTGAGGTGGGCTTTTTACATGTATTTAATGTGTATGGCATGGCTCCAGTGCTTCTTATAGTTTGTTGTAATTACATGTATATGCCTACAGGCCAGTGGGGAATTCATCAATTCATTTACAACTACATGAACCTTGCCGTCTCAGGGAACTCCTTGCCATCTCCAATTCAAATCATACTACAGTGTACAGTATACAGCTGTTTCGACAAAGGTTGTCCTACTAACCTTAAGCGTATGCCACAATGCCGATTGATAGTGATAGAGTATCATTGCTTGATTGAGGTTCACGGTGTTTCAGCAAGAAGAAAAGGGAAGCATGAGTACACGTGTTTGTGCTATTTTCTTCTTTTGGCACTGAAACACTTTGCAGCTTCAATCAAGACACCTAAAACCATCATTACCCGTAGTACCTTTCAACATTATTGCGTACGCTTATACGCTTTTGTGGGACAACCTTTCTCAAAACAGCTGTTTCCAGTCATTACTAGCACCAGTTCATGATTAGTCCCTTATAATTTAGAACTACATGTTGGAACTTGTACACATGTACATGGAAATGCATGTGAACCCTAATTGGCCCTCATTTCCATTTGACGTAGGAGTGAATGTTTAACGTGTCCACTTGCCTGGCTGAGTTACTTGTACATATAATATCGCAGCTTGCAAAATCTACACAAACAATTTTTGTTTTATTATTATTATTTTTTTAATTTTTTGCCACACAAACAAAACTAATCTTACAATACAATGATTACTACATGTAAATTACAAAAAGATTACACGGTGTGACTGTACAAAACTACAATTTATTAAAAATGGTGAGGGAACCTAATAAAAACCACAGAGCTTGGGTTCCCTCTCAAGAAACACCAATGACTAATTGATAAATTACGTTATTAATGACAAACCTTATTTAATGGCAGAGTTTAAGTAAAGAATTTAAGTTGAGCAATCCCCAACTAGCAGACCCATAGTCACTATCAATCAACTAGTTAGTCAAATAAAGTTGAATGGAAAAGCAGCCATGCAATTAATTCATGAAATTCTAAAAAGAAAGGAAAGGAAAAATTCACTATTTACTCAAGTAGAGGAAAACATCCACTAACAACCTGGCAACAAAATTCACTTTTTTCACCAAGGACATCAGTCTTTGTTTGAACAATGCTGTCCATGTAGAGCAGGGATTGGTCACTGCAGCTGCAGTGCGTATACAGTTATATATGCTGTTAATGATTATTTTCATTGACAAATAGGATCCCCTTGCCTGCAAATGGATTACACCTATAATCCAAGGCTATTGCAAGATAGCTCACTGTGTTAACACATTTGAAGATGAGGATGCTGAGGAGGGGGAGGAGAGGAAAACAGTACCATTCCCCCCTGAAGAGTTTGAATTGGCACTCATATCCAGGAGGAGTGTGTATCGAGCTGGTGAGAATATCATGTGTCAAGTTTATAGAGCTGTACAATCTTTTAATTTTTTTGTTTTTTTGTTTTTTTGTTTTTACCTAACGGTTACATTATTTACTTGTGATGGTATGCTCGATGCATGTAATACACTGTACATTGTATGTATGTTTACATGTAATTTACAGTTTTAAATCCTAATCAGAATGAAGTTAATTAACTAAGTCCAGGTTGACTTAGAATCAGTGTATGACAATTTATCACGCTGATGATGCCGTGTATTCATGTAGTTATGCAAACGACTTCAGGGTTATTTTAATAATATGTTTTGATTTTCAGGGACACGTTACAGAAGGCGTGGTGTAGATGATAATGGAGATGTTGCAAATTATGTTGAAACAGAACAGGTACATTTGTTTGATGATTTACCGTAGCATATTACAAGAAGTCTATTAACATGCAAGTCTGCATACGTGCCAAGTGGTCCATCAGGCCGGCATTTACAGTATCTCCAGTTTCTGTAGCGTGAGGCGACTAGGAGTACTTTTACTCCCCCTTAGATGGAATGCTAGGCTAGTCCATCACAGGGTTACCCCCAGCATGATGCATCAAATTTGCCAGTACCCATTTTTATTATATGGACCAAATCCTGCGCTGTGATTGGCTACCCGAGCGGGCAAGACGAGGCTATCTTGTCTACCGTCATGTCCCGCAAGACCAATTTCCTCGAAAACCATATAATAAATCCTTTATTGATCAAGCTTGTTCAGTCAAGATGGCTGGATGTTCGCTTCGTTCTATTTTTGCGGGTTTATGGACCTCGACTCTGTCTCAGTCCATAAACAAGCAAAAAAAGAACTTGACCAATATCCAGCCATCTTGACCTCGCACTTGGTCAATAACCCTTGCGCAAGAGCACAACAAAATGTCCCCGGCCAGGGCTTGAACCCAGACCACTCGATCCGGAGTTGAGTTCACTAACCATGAGGCCACGGCACCTCCCATGACAAGCATTACGTGTTGCCTGTATAATCAATTTGTACTTTCAGATGGACTTTGAACCATTTTTAATCCGCCGTAGGAAAAAATATGGCGGCTGTACATTTTACCACAATACCATGCGAACCTTACACGGCCCATAAAAAACCAGGAAAGCCATATTTTTTGCGATATTTGTCTTTGTGCTAACGACATTGTGTATGCTAGGTTTAAGATTTTAGAACTTTTCTGTACGTTTTTATGAGCATTGTTAAAGTTTTCGTGGGCTAAAAATTATGGGTAAATGTATCAGTCGCCATCTTTTTTCTTACGGAGGATTGTGTTTTGCATAATCTACTGATTTTCTAGTTCTTAATATCTGTGAATGCTATTAAAATCAGTTTTTGTTCTGGACTATTACAGTAATGAAAAAAAAAAAGGCTTGCAATACTGTCATATTTGTTTTGCAGATTATTTGCACTTCCACACACAATGTGTCATTTGCACAAGTCCGAGGCTCTGTACCTGTGTACTGGAGTCAACCTGGTTACAAATACCGACCACCACCGCGATTAGACAGAGGTATTCATTTTATACTATGTTCAAGTAAACGCATCAGATATTATTCATTGGGTGATGCGTGTACAGGAAGTGTGGCATATTGCCCTGCATTTTGAGATGCAAGCTTCTTTCCTTGTTTTCGTTGTTGTGTTTTCTAAACTCGAAGAAGCTGTGGAAGCTGTGGAAGCTGTGGACTGTGGAAACACTCGCCTGCGGCTCGTGTTCCCACAGCTTTTCTCGTTCTCCCAAACTTCCACTCGTGTTTCTATAACTCGATAGAAACACTGTACATGTTTTCTATTTCTTAAGTGTAGCACATCAAGCACAAGAGATCAGGATGTGTTATAACATTCCCATACACCGAGAAAAGAGTTAAAAAAATAAATAAATAAATATCTATCTATCTACCTACCTACCTACCTACCTACCTACCTACCTACCTACCTACCTACCTACCTACCTACCTATCTATATCTATCTATATCTATCTATATCTATCTATATCTATCTATANGGCTCTGTACCTGTGTACTGGAGTCAACCTGGTTACAAATACCGACCACCACCGCGATTAGACAGAGGTACTCATTTTATACTATGTTCAAGTAAACACATCAGACATTATTCCTTGGGGCATGCGTGTACAGGAAGTGTGGCATATTGCCCTGCATTTTGAGATGCAAGCTTCTTTCCCTGTTTTCGTTGTTGTGTTTTTTAAACTCGAAGAAGCTGTGGAAGCTGTGGAAGCTGTGGAAGCTGTGGACTGTGGAAACACTCGCCTGCGGTTCGTGTTCCCACAGCTTTTCTCGTTCACCCAAACTTCCACTCGTGTTTCTATAACTCTATAGAAACACTGTACATGTTTTCTATTTCTTAAATGTAGCACATCAAGCACAAGAGATCAGGATGTGTTATAACATTTCCATACACCGAGAAAAGAGTTAAAATATATATATATATGGCATGCTGACATGCGGTAGGGTATTTTTGATAAACTTAGAGGCACATTTGAAAATGCAATGCAACACTGGATCGGGTGATCGAGAATTACTCGTAACTGAAAATGAGAATCTAAGGAGAAACTGAAGATTGAAATTAAATCGCAAAATTTATGCCAAATCACAACCATTGCGTTCATGACATATTTTGTTTTAACTTGTTGAATTACATGTGTTAATGAGTTTGATTGGGGAACCATAATGGGAGAACAAAAGTAAAACGGAGTGACGGCTGCATCATTATTTTGGTCAATTAGTTTTCAGATTAGAAGGTTACGTTACCTGTCTGTCCATACTCCACTCTTCAGTCGGTGCAGTTCCACACGGAAGCACATGACTGGTGTTTTGAAAATTAATTTTGTTGTGTATCTGTCTACAGATGAAAAGGAAACACAGTTGGCCTTCAGGAAGCATTTTGATCATCAACTAGAACTTTATAAGACTGTGGTTAGTAGACATAAACGTCTGATGGTACATGTAACAATGGCTATAATTATCTGCGATAGGATGGGATCCGATCCGATCTGATCGGATCCAGTACAATCTAATCCTACCCAGTCAAATCCGATAGCTAAGTGTCTGAGAAATAATCAATAACATAGACATCATTGATGTGTTTTTGCTTTGTTTTGTTTTGTTTGTTTGTTTGTTTGTTTGTTTATTTATTTATTTATTTATTTTTTTGTGGCAGGGTTAGACTTTTGCTGAAAGATATATGTTTCTTGGGCTCCTTTTTTTTTTTTTCAGTCTCACGAGATGTTTGCAAAAGAAATTTAGAAACTTTTCGGGTTACGCGCATTTGAACTTTGTACGAGTTCGCATTTGTACACCTAAAATTACCGCATGATAGAATTTGCAACTTATAAAGGACTAAAAGAACCTTTTGTTTCGAGAGTTTGCATTATTTTTAGTCAGATAGTTTTAATATTCTTCTTTTCAAGGCCGTCATAAATTTAGTGGATCAATCAGGCAGGGAGAAGGTATGGTGACACGTTCATACTAATTAACTTTAAGCTGCCTTAATAAAATGTCAACCTGCAGTTAAAAATTGTAAACTTGCAATCTACACCTGGAACAAGAACATTTTAAACTCTCGTAGCTTTGTAATGGTTTGTTAGTTATGTACCGTACAATGCAGGTTTTTGGTTTGGTTTATATTCATACAGTGCGTAGTAAGGTTACTTGCTTTAGGAAAACGTAAAACGTTTATATGTTAATTTTGAACTCGTCATTTATTCTACTCTATTTTGTTTACAGCTTTTTTTTTTGTTCATGCAGATAATAAGTGACGTTTTCATAGACAATATCTTGGGCTACAACAGTCCTTTCCTTACGTACATCACCTTCGATTTCCATGAATACTGGTGAGTTTCCAAAAAAAATATACGCTTTCTTAATCTGTTACGTTGTGAAGTTTTATTGTAACAACTAAGCCACATGTAAATAAACTCGAGACAGCTTTTTGAAATAAATTCAGTTGTAGTTGTACCTTGCGTTTACGGAGATCTGCCGCAGGCCGCCATCTCCCATAAGTTTAAATGTGGTCCAGCTACGGGCAAACTACATTGTTATGTATACAATTTAACCTCGTGTAAGTCAAACCTATCTTAAAGCACGAGAAAGACTGCTCGCAGTCTAGGTTTTACGGCATTCAGTTGAAGACCGCTCTGAGAACAAAAACTGTGCAGCACAACTTGAATCAAGGGTTTGCTACAGACATCTTACAACTAATACCGTGTCTCTGGACTTTTCATTTAGCTTTAGGATCTTAAACGGTTTAACGAACTTGTTTGAAGAGGCGGAATTCAGTTTATCAGTTGTTAGTTAGCAGTTCAGGTTGTCCTGGTAATTAAACTAAAAAAATAACAAACATAGAGTCTTTAAATCAGGTTTAATGATCCAAAATTCTTCCTTTCCTGTCGTTGCAGCCGTGGAATGAGATTTGAAAATGTTTCTGTGTTGGTGGAGAGTATCCTTGAGGTTATTAAGGATGTGAGATACTGTTGGTATGTGTATCACGTTTTCTTTGTGATTTCATAATTTAGTAATTTTACTGAGGCCAGTCTAAACCAAAGTTATGTTGACTAGAGGTTCTTTCCAGAAGGATAGTAAAGTAGTGTATTAAAGGCTGGTTTTCAGTAGCGACGGAGTCTGAGTCGGCGTCGTCAGAGTGCTTATGACCCAGTGAAAATCGAAAATCCGAGTCATAAGCGGGGTTATTCGCTTGACGGAATCAGAGTCGGGAGATCAGAACGTTTCCTTTTTTTTATTCGATTACGCTTACGACTGTGGACTTCTTATTATGAATCCGACTCCGTTGTCAGTGGAAACTAGCCTTATGAAGCCAAGATTCCAGCTTCAAGTGTAAATTGTAAATTGTTTTATTGTTGTGGACTTGTAATTGGCAGCATCTTAAACTGTCAAAATGCTGAACGTGCATTTTGCACATGTGGCGAATGTTTGGTACTCTGCTTGGCGTAACAATAGTGCCGGTGTTCGTGATCGTGTTTGTTATCGTGTTCATGGTCGTGATCGTGGTCGCGGTCTTGTTCGTGATCGTGTTCGTGGACGTGACCGTGTTCGTGGTCGTGTTCGTGTCCGTGGTTGTAATGTCTACCAGTACCCCGAAGTAAATGACTTTCTGTTGTTCTTTGGAAGGACTGATGATAGAGGAATCATTTGCGATCAGCGAGGTATATTCCGTGTCAACTGTATGGACTGCTTGGATCGGACGAATGTTGTGCAGGCAGCCTTAGCACGTCACATTATGGAACAACAGGTAAATTAATGTGAACAACAAGCAAACAGACAGACAAATACTTTGATGTGTGTGTGGCGCGCAACTGCCCTCCGGCAGTAAAATAAATAAATATTGGAGAGGAAGTTTAATAGAAAGTGGAAACGACCTNGAGATACTGTTGGTATGTGTATCACGTTTTCTTTGTGATTTCATAATTTAGTAATTTTACTGAGGCCAGTGTAGACCAAAGTTCTGTAGACTAGAGGTGCTTTCCAGAAGGATAGTAAAGTAGTGTGTTAAAGGCTGGTTTTCAGAAGGTCCGAGTCGGCGTCGAAGTCGGAATCGGAGTCGTAAGAGCGCTTATGACTCGGTGAATTTACTCTGTAAATTCGAGGTTAAATAAAGTATATGTATGTATATATGTATGTAGTGAAAATCGAAAATCCGAGTCATAAGCGCGGTCATTCGCTTGGCGGAATCAGAGTCGGAAAAATCAGAACGTTTCCATTTTTCTTTCGATTAGCCTAACACTGTGGACTTCGGATTATGAATCCGACTCCTTTGCCCGTGGAAACTAGCCTTACGAAGCCAAGATTCCGGTTTCAAGTGTAAATTGTAAATTGTTTTAGTGTCGTGGACTTTTAATTGGCAGCATCTGAAACTGTCAAAATGCTGAACGTGCATTTTGCACATGTGGCAAATGTTTGGTACTCTGTTGGGCGTAACAATAGTGACGGTGTTCGTGATCGCGTTTATTGTCGCTTTCATGATCGTGATCGTGGTCGCGATCTTCTTCGTGATCGTGTTCGTGGACGTGACCGTGTTCGTAGTCGTGTTCGTAGTCGTGGTCGTGGTCGTGTCCGTGTCCGTGGTTGTAATGTCTACCAGTACCCCGAAGTAAATGACTTTCTGTTGTTCTTTGGAAGGACTGATGATAGAGGAATCATTTGCGATCAGCGAGGTATATTCCGTGTCAACTGTATGGACTGCTTGGATCGGACGAATGTTGTGCAGGCAGCCTTAGCACGTCACATTATGGAACAACAGGTAAATTAATGTGAACAACAAGCAAACAGACAGACAAATACTTTGATGTGTGTGTGGCGCGCAACTGCCCTCCGGCAGTAAAATAAATAAATATTGGAGAGGAAGTTTAATAGAAAGTGGAAACGACCTCAGTAGACACACGGCGTGTTTTATTGGATTGTCTTTGCTGACAGAACACGATTGCAGGCACGTCGTTTGTCTTTTCTTATGTTTCGCCTTAGAATACCTACAATGCACATGTTTGTTATCCGTTGTTAAAAGAGTCGCCTCCGTTTTTTCNGGCTACGCGGCTGAAGTTTTTCCTCATTTTATTTTTCACTTTTCTAAGGGTAAACTGTATCCTCGAAGGCGGGTCAAACGCTCCCAACATTTCAACAAGGCATGTTGCAACATATTGTTACGCATGACAAGTTTCACTCGTCTAGCCACTCTTTAGCACGTTTGTGGCAAACTTTTCCAGCATGTTTAGACAACAATATTGTAATGTGCTGTGTCGAAATATTGACCTCGTTAAGCCGAGCCTTCACACCCTCAAAAAAAAAAAAAAAAAAAAAAANGCCCATTTAGTATTATCTCATATAAAATGCACCAGTACACTAATAATGTCTTTACGTCTTTCTCCAATCTCTTCGTGTACTTCTTATATTCGTCCTGGCTTAAAATCGCATTTTCCTTTTTTGGCTCATAGATGTAATGCTTGGGAACCCTGTGACAGAAGACATCGCGGCACTGATAGCTGCCATGAGGAACGGTCCGGAGGAGGAGCAGTGGACGATGGAGAGAGAGGAGTGTGTGGCGCAGTTAGTACAGCACTGTAAACAGCTGCTGCTTACAGATGAAGAAGAGTGTATGTGTGGCTGGGCCTTGGTGGACCCTTTTTACAGGTACTGCAGGACTTCAAATAATTTCCCGGCTGGCGCCGGTCAAATTGTCCGGTCAAACCTATTTTTGCTCGGACATATCCCATTTTTGGCCGGAAAAACATCGATTACGTCTTATCGCTATAAAAGTGCCTCGTCCCCCCTTCACGTGATTTTTAAATATGAAACAAGTACATTTTCAAAGCATTTATTGTACATGAGCATCAATCTCAATGCAGGAAAAGTGGAACGCATGGTACAGCAGAATCAGTATCACATATGTGCGAAAATTTGCAACGATAGCCGGAAATTTTATGACTATTACGAATCATGTATTAAAAGTTCTTCGTCTGGTAGTTAAGTATCAGCCTTTTTTCCCTCCTTTTTCACAAACGTCAATGATATTGAACCTTTAAATGTTTAAACTTGAAACTCTAAATTTTTCCGTACCAGCGTAAACGACCGGACAAATTGTCCGGCCATCTAGGGATTTGACCGGACATTGTACGTTGACCGGCCGTTATTTGAAGCCCTGTGCTGGCATTGCCCGCGTCCTGATTGTAATGTTTATAGAGTTTGAAGTCTAAAAGCATTGTATTTTAATACTCATAAGCAGCCTTTTGTTGTCAGTGTTTGGGTCAGTATTTGTTTACTTTGCTTTCTATGTTTTATTTTATTGTATACTCAGTCTACATTTAGCAACGTTCAAGTTTCATTATCCAGCGCGTGCAATTTGTAACCGTTTTAATCGTTGTTGCTATACAGTGTTTCACCACATAATTTATTAATAGTTTGTTGGCTGCAAGACCGCTAAATTCGTCAACTTCGTGGCCAGGATGTTATTTATTGTCCTTGCCTTGCCACTGTAGCTAAACACTTTCACTCTTCGTGAACTCTGTCCTTATCATTAAAGCATGCCGTTTGTGGTTTTCTGGAGTTATTTTACTCAGTATATTAATGTGTTTCTCTGCAGCACGGATGGTGAAGTGACACAGGACCAGGATGTCATTCTCTTGCTCACTTATCAGGCGTACTATGTGGCCAGGTAAACCGAAGATTAGTTAACTGTTTATTATGGCGCAAGCTATTTGAAGCTTAAATTACTCAGCGGAATGAACGTTTAACTCCGTTTTTTATTTCAATCATTTCTCAGCTACGATGACGAGGCGGAGAGGATAACCCAGTACGAACGCATCGCGCTTGAAGACTTAGAAAAGATTGAGATTGGTGAGCCATTTCAAAGTCATCTTTTGTCAGTTGGCATCTTGTTTCAGCAGACATCCAGCACATGTACACACAGCCAAAAGTGATTTCTGAATATACGCAGTTTCAACTATGGGAGCGTTCGCTTTTATATGGGATAGAAATTTTACCTTATCTCCCTCCCCCTCACCCTCCACCGCCCGCCCTCGTGATGCTAAAATTTTGAGATGNTAATTGGACCTCGTGTCGTGCAATTCAAGGAATAATCGCGCAAGCGCTCAGGGTAAGGCCGGCACGATTACTCGCTGAATTGTACGACAAGAGATCCAGTTACTAATTAATCCTATCGATAACAAATTTCGAGTTTAAGGTTGCTCAGTCACGGTTGCTCATATTGAAAAGATTAGCCTCAATTTTTCAAATTCGTCCTTTGTAATCCGTGTTAATCTTCTCCATCCTTAGCCATCCTTGTTCCTTTATGGTTTATCATTATCTCTGGTGCTGTTCTATCTTATTAAACTGTTATTTTCACCTTTTCTACCATTAAGAGGTAATTTTGTATGTGGGCAAAATAACTCAAAATATTACCGTGAGTCAGCTCCTTTAACATTTTTTTCGTGATGAAATTTTTAATTTGCTCCCGCAATGACAATGTGCGATTTTGGCAAAAAAACAAAACAAAAACAAAAACAAAAACAAAGACAAAGACAAAAAGTGATACATTGTTACATTTCGTTTATCCTCCGCTCGTTATTTTAGATAAATTCTAATAACACGTTTGATAAGTGTTCATTTCCTCCTAACATGTCTATGCTTGGTGTGAAATCATTTTCCGCCGGCACTCAGGCTCTCTAATGTCAGCGTTAAGGATGAGTGTGACCATTTTTGCACTGACATCTAATTCCTCTTGTCCAGGTGTACTGCTGTGTATTGCGGACGCATTTGCCTCAGCAAGGGCAACATTAGAGCTAGGATTGAAAGTCACGGAGTGCCGATTGGACAGGTAGGTTATTGTATCAGTGTGTCATGCAATGGTCTTTTCTATCCTCGCTGATTAGGTGAAAAGTAGTCGAACAACACTGTAGAATTTACTTCAGACCTGACATAGGTCATCATTTTCTGTTCCCCGTAAGATATAGGAAGAGATCTTTATGTTCTTGTTTGTTGGTTGGTTGCTTGGTTGGTTGGTTGGTTTTTTCTTTCGCTCGTTTGTTTGTTTGTTTGTTTGTTTGTTTGTTTGTTTGTTTGTTTGTATGGGAACGCAACGGCTTTGCTGGAAAAGTCAATTATTCATATATTTTGTGAATAAAGTCTACTTACCCTCTTGCCTTGTTGTATTCTTTGCTGCTTGCCAGCTCCTCAGGCCGATCTAACGCGATTTCGGCGAGTTATCGTTCGGTGGTTTTCCAGAAAAGCCGTTGCGTTCCCATACAAACCTTTATAAATTCAAACCGTTGTAACACAGCACCTCCATATGCTGCAAGGCGAGAGTCACGTTTTGCGTAATCAAATTCTGTTGTTATGTAATAGCATATGCCACCTGTCACGTTTCACTGAAGGCTCGCATAAAAGTAAAAAAAAAAAAACATGTAACTCCTCGCATTGTGAGCTTGGGCCGCATGCGATTGGTCTTACAGTCAATTAGTTTCCCACTAACACATGTCATTGCCAAGACCGGTTTGCCTCACGACACTCTTGCCCGGACTGATCTACCCAATACAGCGAGAGTTGGCAATGTAAGAGACGTGCCGAGGTAATTATTGGCGTTATTTGCATTCTTTTTCTTCTTCACTTTACCATTCAGAAAGAAAACCAAGGTTGCTCCAAGTGTTATTCAAATCTCTTCCAAGTCACGCCTCAGCAGCTGGTCTAGTTTGGACACTAAGCTTCGAAGCAAGTCCGTCGTTGAACGCAACTTAAGCGTATCGTCCTTTACGTCCCTTCGCCGCTCCGATCTCGGCGACCTACCCAGGTCTTTCTCGGACTCTTGTCTCGCGAAGAGACGCCTGGAGGACGATGTGGATGAATTTAAAAATCCTAGTTCCAGTGCTCCGCAGAGCTGTTCTGGCAGTTCTGGGAGTGATGAAGACGAAGATGAGGGGTCTGGGGAAACTGAGGACATGGATCGCTTTGAACCATCGGTAAATAATACTTCTTGAATTCTTTCAATATACGAATTCTCCTTATCGATACCGCTATTACGATTTAACTCTAGTTGGAAGAAGTTGATCGAGAATCGAGATTCTCATTAATCCAGGCGAGACTTTATATTGAGAATGGCCATTAAGGTGGCTCAAATCAGTTTCCAGCACTCTCCAAGACTTAAATTTTGATGCGTCATTATAACTACTCTTTATCAGTTGATGCTACCATCATGGTGTCAAAAAACTGTCCAATCATTGCTCAACAAGTTGTTGTCATTGTCGTGTCACAGTAGGTTACCATAGCAACAGTATGACCTGCCAAAAACACCGTCGATTTTAGCTAGAAGTGCTTGTAATTCAAAAACGACAGGGTGAAACCCATTTTTTGTTATCGAATTTTGATTGGCAGGATGAGTCGCAACTTTTGGCAAATTTTAAAAGCTTATTGAGAATTGTCTACAATGGGTATTCATCACCTCGAGTTTCGAACTGAAAATGTTAGAACGGAAGTTTTAAAATCTTAAGGGGTGACTTTTAGCCGAATAAAACTGAAATTTTTCCGTGTTACATACATGTAAGAACTGTTTCAACTCCTGCAGTCCTGTAAAATGATCATAAACTGGATCAGTGAAAACGGGCTTAGCTTCATGATCGATTATTCCACGAATATGTTGATAAACTACTTCATTTAATCACTGATGTCGCTATTCTAGAATCAATGTAGTGTTTCTTGTGGCAACAACTGCTCTTGTCGACCCGTTCAAATACTACGATCATTTTTGTTTTTCTGTTTTGTTTTGTTTTGTTTTGTTTGTTTGTTTGTTTTTTTGTTTGTTTTTTGCAAGGTGAACACGAATTTGCGAGTCAATAACTAAAACCCACTTATTTGAATGGATTTTTGACAGACTAGCATTTCATAAGTCTTGTTGGCCCGGGTAATTTTTTTGCCTGACTTATTAAACGTCTCTGTTTGTAGGTCAGCAATGGTGAAAGGATAAGTACTGCTGGCCTGGAGGTCAAAGACGATGCGGAAGAAAGCGAAGTGGAGTTATTGCCTGAAGATAAAGCCGAGAATGACGAAGCAGAGAATGAAAACGACGAATCGTGTGCGTTAGATAAAGCCCTTCAAAGTGAAGACCTCACTGAGGAGGGCGTTTCTACCCAGCCATGTGCATTTGTTGTAGGTGATGAGGCAGGCGCTGAAGAAGGGGACGAAGAGAGTAGCAATGAACGCGAAGCCATCGTGGAGGGAGAAAACAGCTCCAGAAAAGCGTCTTCTGATTCTGATTCTAACAAGGAAGAAGCGGAGAGTCAAGTCAATCACTGGGTACATGAGAAGGTTAGTGAGTCAAACGAAGGAAATGATGACGAGGGTCAGAATAGGAGAATTGAAGAAAATGAAATAACTGGTGACCAACCAGCACAGGAGAAAAGTGAACTTACAGAACACAATGGTAGTTCTGAGTTAAGCACTACTGAAGACAAAGCCACGTCACAGTTTAAACAGGAAAATGGAGAAATCAAATTAAAAGACCTAGAAGGTGAAGCGAAAACCCAAGATCCGCAGATAAGTTTCCACGGAGCGACTGCGTCGATGCGAATCAGTCATTCCAACGTGGAGCTGGGCAGCATGGCGTCCTCTGGGACACTGAGCAATGGCGAACGAAGCCCGGAAAGACGACGAATCTCTCGATTTCTGAATCGTTCCACCGGAAACCGAACCCCGAAGTTGAACATTTTTGCCACTGCGCAGGCGCGTGGGCGTACTCTTCTTCCGGAACTGCGCAGTAAGTTGTCTTCGTTTTCCCAGCAGGTTCGCTCCAGGTCACCGCGGTTAAACACCAAACGACCGAGCTTGCACGGGGAAACTAACAGTCAACAGAAACAACGTAGAAGAACTTGTCGCACTAAAATTATTGAATTATGATATGCGGGTTACTCTTCTGTTTGGTACTGGGATAGATTATAGTGGCCTTTGATTCCTTTACTGCATTTTGTTGTTGTTGTTAGTAGGTCAATAAATCACAAAAGACACTTATAAGAACATTGAATTAATTGATAACGACAGTTTGACAAGACTTGCGGAGCGTATGACGGAAAGGGGGCTTGGGGGAGCTGAGGATTGGACACAAATAAGTATCAATAGAATTTTTTTGCTATATTTCACGTTAAAAACCATTGCTTTGCTCTTGCCGTCTCGCACAATAATTAGTACAGCAATCTCTAAGGTAATTGTACAGAATGCTTTAAATATTATTTAAAATTTTATTGTTACTGTATTTTTGTCTTGTACGACCAAAGTTTACATGTAACTGAATATAATTAAAACAAGATTAGATTAAGTGATAAATGATACTTAGGCGAAGTACATACATAACAACAGTTAGTGAAATTAGACGTTTAAATGTGATATGTAGTTTCCTGACCAACAATTGAAGACTCTACTGTAAATGATATTCTTATTTAAAGCCAGATACCTCAGTTCTGGATGGCTTGTTAAAAAAAAAAAGTGTTTTACTGATCTGCGTAAGCATTTTAAATGTAGGTAAATTTTAAAAAGTTCGCTTTTTATAGTTTTGTATTGTTTGTGTTTTTAAAGATAATTTTCAAAGTTGAGTTTTCGATTTAATGTATGTAAAGTCGACTTAGGCAATTTAACGGATAAAAAGGCTGTGCCTCTTTGTTAGGGTAGAGATAATACCTAACTGCAATGACAAATGTCGAATTGCTTAATTATGCTGTTGAAAATAAATTAAGCGAAATATTGTCTGAATGACTATTGAAACGCCACTCAGCTTTTCTGCTCTACGCTGGAGCCCTATGTTGGTTCAACTGGGAAATCTATAATTTTCGAAGCCCTCCTTATTCAGAAGTGCGCATGGCGCCAAGGGCACCATTGCCGTCGAAACTTGCTATGGTTTCTGTAGCTTATAATCTCTAGGAACATTTCTACGTGATGGGATGCTACTACAATCAAACCTCCCGTAAGCGACCACCCAAAATGTCAAGCCGAGGTGGTCACTTACAGGAGGTGGTCGCTTATGAGAGCTTAGACCATAGTGGATCAAAATTTTGCCTCATTAGCAGTTATAACCGCAGAGACTTACCCCATGCTTTAAACTTTTTATTCATGTAAAAAGTCAATTTCGAGAAAAATCCGGTTTCCCATTGAAATATTTTCGTCCTTTGTACTACCTAGGAATACGATAATGTTACAACACCTT